AAATGGCATGGGGGGTAAATGGCATGGGGGGTAAGTTGTCCGGGGGGTGATTGTCCGGGGGGTATTTGTCCTGACACCAAAAATCCCTACCCTTTCTATAAAAATGTGTTATCGTGTGCATGCAGCGTACACGAGAGACGTGTTTTGTGAAGCTCTTGTTCTGGCTGCATGACTGCATAAATAAGGTACGTATAGACAATTATCATGCCCTTGTTGGATGGATAGTTGATAGTGGCAGTGAACAGCTGATCCATATTAGGCTTGCGTTTTATATTCAGCAACTACCGTTCCATTGACAAAATGTCCGACTTTACAGTTGAGTGGGTAGACCTCATTTGAACAGATCGAAGATAGAATTCTGTGACATGCTTGCATCGGTATCAAGCCTCGGTTTCTTAACCGATGGCTGCACGGCTGGCATGCTAGCCGGCCTTCTCACCTGAAAAATACATGTCACTATACATAACCACATGTGGTATCGTGCAGTACTGCCACCTCGTGGAAGAAAATGACGAGAAGAAATTAATCGGAGTGAAAAAGCATTCGTTTGTATCGTTCTGCACTACAGGAGATACACAATACAAGGTAGTAACTGAAATAACTGCAGTAACAGTAATATAAATGAGTGAACAAGATAATACACAGCTGTGGAGTCATTTAGATGGAATGTTAAAGTTATTGCATAAATATATTTAGCTGAAAGCGTGCAAAGCTTTTAAGAACTGTTTGGGTTTGGCCTTCAAATACAATTGCACTTACTAGATATATGAATGAAATTACATACTGTATAAGCTGTATATTTCACGGTGGTTTAATTTTCGCGAATTTCGCGAACGCGTGCCCGAACGCGAAAATAACAACACGCGAATAATTCATACCGAATAATACCAAATAATTCATAATTCACCGACCGCGAAATTAATCGCTTGCAAAATTGTCCGTCTAGTCTGAATTCGCGAAAATATCTGTACGCGAAAAATATGGCGTACAGTACACACATCTAGCTCTCCGCTACAAACCTGCGTGTTCCGTCCCTCTGTTTCAGATGAGACAGCTGCGAATACGAAATTCTTCGAATTTTTCGGTCCATTAACATTGCCCTCACTCTTAGTCATCGCTGCCAGCTTGCTAAGTGTATGCTTTCCTCTAGACAGGAACGAGCCCTTCCATTGCTAATCAAAGAAGAATAAAAAATTTCATGTCAGATACAAGTTGTGTATTAACAATGACATCTTTATTAAGCACATAAAAAGCCATTCGAATACTGTCTGTGAATTAATATGGTTGCAGGAAAAGTTCAGCAAGAACTATACATTATAGAATACATTATAAGTATATCTATATAAACTCACATACGCATATACCGCGAAAACAAAAAAACCAGATAAGAGACTGAAAGAGATCGTAAACCACTTCGTAAAACCACTTACAGATAGTTTGAACATTTTCGTAGGTGTTACTGGTGCTCCATCCTTCTTTGCTGTGTTGGTTTGGTTACTAGGTAATAGCTTTTGTTGCTGTATGTTTTCTAAAGAGCATGTAAATAAAACAGAAATATAATGAAATAAATAATCATATATTTGAGAACATGTTAGGTAGGGTTCTGCCCACGGTGGGCGGGTGTGCCCGGCACTGTTATATAAAAAAAAAAAAAAAGGTGATATATGGGCTTTTTATTGCTCAGAATGCAGGAAATTGAGTTTCAGACTATCCAAAATTAAAAATTTTCCGGTGGTGCATGCCCCGGACCCCCCTAGATTGGCTTCGCGCCTACGGAGCTTGCATCTTCCAACTTTGTCGCAACTGGATGCGCCCGGCACTAAAAAATCCTGGGCAGAACCCTGCATGTGATATTATATATTGGTAATGATTATTATCAGAGCAGATTTTCCAAGAATCAGCAAACTTAATTTGGCAAATAAATAGACACCACTCTGTACCTTTTTTCTTGAAAACTGCATCGTCAAACTTGAAACGTTGACTCTGCTCATCTTCTGGTAACTCTGCATCAATTGATTTCTATAAATACAGCCACAATTCTGAATAAGATTACATTTATAGAATATAACAGTATAATAGAAATTCACATGGTAGGGTCATCACATTATAAGAGCAACACCTCACGTGTAAAACTTTGTGGTCAAAATAAGTACTATTATGTTAATATAAATGCAAGAAAACATTTTAAAATTCATAAAGTAATTATGTAATGCCGTAACCAACTGGCATGATAATATTAGGACGGAGAGTCGAGAACTAGAATTACTGAGAAAGAGATGAAGGGGAAGGGGCCAGCATTACGAGACCATTCGCCTAGTGTTCACTATAGTGATCCCCCTTTCATGGGCACCGGTCGGGGACCATAAAAATTTCCCGATTAAATAGTGGACACATGTGCATCTGGATTGTTTTTCAAAGACATGTTGTTTTAGTGATGCACCAATTTATCCAAGGTCCAATGAAGTGGGGATCACTACACTATCAAGAGCTAATAAATACCTAGAGTGTACAACGGAAAAACGGGAAAATAGTGCTATTTCACGGCAATATTATTCTACTTTGCCTGCGAGTCTAGAATAATTTTATGGTATTGCATTAAGCAGAATTACTTGCTCTCTAAAACAAGACCAACCGCTTGTCACTACGATACTCCTAGGCTGAGATATTGGCTCGTAAACTTCCCCTCCCACAGGCCTCACGGCGCCTCGCATCCACAATATTCCCTTTACCTTCTCGCCTTTTGAGGGTTCTGGCTATCGTTTTCCGTCGCCGTTTCGAGAGCTGATTATTGATGTCACATGCCCAAATTTGGTACTTTTACTACACCATATAGTAACTGAGCTGCGTTGTTGAGACTTAATTTAGAAAACATTGCCGGCTCCATCATTATGGGCATTAGCCGTGCTAGGAAAGATAATGGGAGATAAGGGCCTAGGTGATGCCCTAGGTGTTGAAAGTCACCGATGATAACCGAAACACCGTTCATCCATAAAGTCATCACGGAAAAAACCGAACTCTCACGAAGCGACTTTCCTAACCCGCAAAAGGCAAGAAGATTAGGGAATATTGTGGATGCGAGGCACCGTGAGGCCTGTGGGAGGGGAAGTTTACGAGCCAATATCTCCGCCTAGGAATATCGTAGTGACAAGCGGTTGGTCTTGTTTTAGAGAGCAAAGAATTCTGCTTAATGCAATACCATAAAATTATTCTAGACTCGCAGGCAAAGTAGAATAATATTGCCGTGAAATAGCACTATTTTCCCGTTTTTCCATTGTACACTCTAGGTATTTATTAGCTCTTGACACTATCTATATTAGGTTTGGCTGCTTCAGGTTCTGACTTCAAGGCCAAACAACTATCTGATGTTAGATGCTCTTTGTACAGCTTTCTGTAGTAGCTGAAACAGTTGTGAATTGCTCTTGAAATAAGTAAGATCAGGAGTGAATAAATAGAATTTTTGATACACTTCTAGTAATATTTACCTGGACAATAATGAACGCAGGGCGATAGATTGTAGGAACCCTACACAACATCACACACAAACACACATCAATAATGACATTTTGCCAGTGAGCTGCATATTTATTACATTTAATTTTATTGACAGTATTTGAGCACACCATTTTTTTGGGTAGAAATACACACCAATTCTTTTTAAAAATTCCGGAAGAATGAATTTGAACTTCGTATGAGTCAAATGGCCATATGTAACAAACTATGTATGGGCGAATTGTCATATCCCAAGTTTAGTAGTATCATTTTCAAATTCTATGCGAATGAATTAAGGTAACCCATTAATTATTGTAAAGCAGATATTATTGTACTAATTTTTCCTTCCCTTAGATGTAGCAGCTATTCGTTGCATACTCTATTCTGACAGCAAGTATTAGCCTGTATTAATTATATAATTGGCTCAACAACGTGGGTAATTAAGGTAAGGTGACAGGGAGGATGATCAAGTAGAATGCAGGGGTGGTGGGAGCAATTGCATAGAGTACAGTCTGACGGCATTTGTACGTTATTCATTACGAGCAAGGCCTACCTTGTTGTCTTGCAACCACTGGTCTCTCTCAAACCTGGCTTTACGCCACTGGCTATCCTGCTCATCCACATCGTCTCTGACCACATTCTCATCATCAGACCCATAGCCGGAGGGTCGATCGGCGTCATTTATGTCATCTAGATTGTCACCAAATCAGTGCAAGCACAGTTCTTAAAGCCGGCACAGTGTACTGAAATACCCATAAGTCTGCACCAGATTGCCTACACGTAGAAGCACAGGCTGAGGCCAACGGACCTACTACAATTCACCCGAGTTCCCCAGTGATGTAATGGTGTGTCAAACTCTTAACATATACCCTGACATATCATTGTTTACAACACAAAACTGTGTGAAGCAGCGATGGTAGCATCCGCTTATCCTGTTTAGACATTAATATTATGTGCCTTTCCATCAATCGTACAATTAAGTGATTAGGCAGTAGCAATTGCATCAGATTCCGCAAAGATGGAGCTTACCTATATTTTTCCACTTGAACTGTCGCTGTCTACCCTTGCTGCCATTCCACAAGTCTCCATCCTCTAAGAAGGCCTCCTGATATAGCCTCAGCTCTCTGTTGTCATCGTCTATCATTTGTTTCCTGCAAAGATTTCGTGTAAGCGTGAATATAATCATACACGCACATGCTGGTTTCCTCATAACACACTTTTATCACAATTACCTGCAAGAACCTCTTTCACACCAAAAATCTACGATACTCACATGTGAACCTTGTTGATCTGATCTCGTAGTTCATTGTTGGAGGGAAGGTCCTCAATGTCTCCCATCTCCTCCTCCATAACGTCATCCTCCTCTGCCCCATCCCAATCCTCATCGCTACCCACCTCACTGCCGGACAACTCTGCCTCTGCCTCAAGAAATTCTTTACTGATGACCTGTTTTCTAAAATAGATGAAAAACAATTTATCATTGAATCGATATAGAAAACCACGTATCCTTTGATAATATTACACGCAAATTTTATGACTAATTTCCATGGCCGTGGATGGAATATTTATTTTTATTTGTCATAATTGCATTAAAAAGGATATAACCAGTTCTGTGGAACTCAGAGTATGTCAATATATGCCAGCAATTATAAAATTTACTTACAGTAATACATTTTATAAGTATGTACATAAGATTATAGATCCAAGTTCTAAATGGATAGTTTTGCCCTATATTTGCTGTCAGAGTCAGAGTTCTGACATTTCAAATAAATATGGATTTCCTATTGATTAGATGACTTTGCTATTTACATTATGTCAATTTGACACCTGTCCAGCAATGATTCCTGTTTAAGGCACTAACTTTTGCTTACCTAGTGTTCGCAATGAGTTGAAAGCCCCTGCTAGAATTGTCCTCCGCTGCCTGCCACTCGTGCGCAACAACGCTCGATTCCTCCTCGTCGCTAAACACCGGCCTCCGGATTCTCGACCTTCGCTTCTTGACCCCCGAGCCAAGGTCGCCGAGGTTCGGCTCAAAGTCGATGTTCGCCGACGCGTCGTCGCTCGCCTCCGCATCCGACTCAGCCGTCGGCGGCCGCGCCTTTCTCCGCCGACAAACGACAAATTCATCGTCGTCTTCGTCATCGTCGTCGTCGTCGTCGCTGTCAAAGTTGTGACCTGTCACAATCACGAAATCGTCGTCCTGCGCCTCCTCCTCGGGGTCGGCCGGGGTTGGGCGTCCGCCGCTGCAAGTATCGTGAGAAATACCATCACATCAAATACAGGAGGGTACCATCGCAGAACGCTTACGGAAATACTCTACGAAGATAGAGGATGGTAAACCTCAAGTAGGGAAGTTGGCTGAGAGATATTACTATTCGTTTTCATTCATATTAGGTATATTTTTTCAATGATGCTACACTCATTATTACATGGTATCAAGAGTACATAAAGCCTAAACAGTCTATGTGCTATTGATAGTTGTTATTAAACTGACTTTTTTGTCCAAGAAAGAACAATCCATACACCGAGGCATGAGGGTATCATCAATGTTCTAACTATAGCTTTTGTGGATTACAACGTTTCACCGAATCTTCCACAGTGATACTGTGCATACAGTATTGATAGTGACACCTAGACCACAGATGCAGGAACACAAGAAACCTGGGTATTTTTATTATTAATATTCTCAACTATTATTTATAATTACCCAGTAAAGAAGCCAGTAAACCCAAGATGGTTATCCTGTGACGTTGCCATTATCGATGCAGTATTGGTTTCCTGGTGACCGTTACTGCTTAGATGGGGTGTAAATGTCTCAGAGCATGCAATGGAGCTGCTCCCACAATTTGACGGGGCGACTGCTGTTGGCTCATCTGGTTCAATGCTTGGCTACACAGAGACAACCAGTGATAAGTACTAACTTGTGTTAAATGGAAAGCAAAATGATATTCAAGAAATTCTCTGCAAAGATAATCATAGGAGGCTGTGATACTAATGTGCTAATAGTAATAGGGGTATTATAATTCACTCGGAGATCAGGAGATGTTATTTCAAACCCTTCTGGAAATAATTACATCAGTGATGTTATAAATGATGGTGATGAAAACATTAATGGTTATATAAAAAACAGATCCATGCAAAACAGCAGTGTACTAGTAGATTTACCCAGGAGAGCTACTGTTATCATATCAGTAATATATACACCAATCAGCTAACAATACAAACCATTCATGCAGGTTTGTCCTGGCTAATTTTGATATGGTAAAAATTAAAATTTCAACAATGTTTAAAACTTTGGCATGACAGAAGCAGCCAAAAATACTAGACCTTACAACGTTTTATTCTAACCATGAATACTTTGTGCAAATAAGCATAAATAGCTATTCTTCTTACACGTGTACTCTATTTCAACATTCTATTACATACCTCAGCAGAGAAGGTGCCAGAACAAAGTCCGACGACCTCCTTCATGTTGGCTTTGCTCGGAACTCTGTCGAGTTGACTTCCGAATATCCCTTTGAGGCGCGACTCGCCACCGCCGAACACGCCTCCAGCTTCTCCACCCGCAGCGAACATCGTCTGCGGTTCGCTACTCGCGCCGAACGTTCCCGAACACAGGTTGACGAGATCTTCCATCGTCTCGCCGTCGTCTGCACGCGAGCCAAACAGGTTCTTCGCGGACTTGCGCTCCTGGCTGCTGGGCGTGTCTGTCGCAAATTGCCCCGAGCAGAGCTGCAGCAGCTCTCCCATGTCGGCCGCGTTGTCATCCTCCGTCATCGGCAGCTTCTGCTTGTGGCTCTTCTTATCGCTGCTCTTCCTCGTCTTTAAGAAGCTGAGATAACGAGAAGGTGAACGAGAAGGTGAACGAGAAGGTGAACGAGAAGGTGAACGAGAAGGTGACCGAGAACGAAACCGATGTAGTAAAGTTACATGTGTCACGATGCAGTTCAATGGGGCGACGGGGAAAAGGGATGGTGTACTTTCACGTACTGTATAAGCAGGGGTGTGAACAGCTAGCAATATTTTTGGCTGGTACTCAAATATTTCAATGAAAGTGGCCGAAGGCCACCACACACAGCAGTGGCCAGAGGCCACTGCCGTAGCCTTACCAAAAGGAGGCCGAAGGCCTTCTTATGGTAAGAAGCGTAGGCCGGGCGAGTTCGAGGGGGTGTCCCCCTCGAACCTTAGAGAATTTTAAAGAATTCATATCCAAATGATGCAAATCTGGGGCATCTTGACACCTATGACATGAGTAAGATCAGTACATAAGTATGGAGACAGATTTTAAAAGCATTGTATTCAGAACACAAAAATTAGTTGTTTCAAAATCTGTCAAGAGTCAACCACAAATGCACCTTGAATAGTGAATACATCACAAGTTCAGCTAAACACAGAACTATTACGGCTAGCGCAAATCGTGGAGTGTCTGCCTGTACGAGCGAGGAAGATCGATTGTTTATACGCGAAGTCTCTTGCGGCTGGGGTCCAGGGCCCGCGTAAGGGCCCTGGAAGTTAGTTCAGGGGGTTTGAGAAAGCGGCCCGCGAGGCACGTGTGTATGGCTGTGCACATCGACGCTGCGTACGTGCCTGCTGGCAGGGGCGGCATTGATTGAAGTACGGGAGGGGGGCACGATTGTTTCAGCGTGGTACTAATCACTACTAAAATGTAGAGGGTTGGCATTGCTGGACTATGAGAGAGCGACAGCAAAACTCTTTCGGGTAATTGACAAAAAAGCTACAATCGGGAATGACACACGAGTGTGCCGCCAGGGAAAAATATACGTGTGAATTTCATTAGGATTGTCCATGGATTACCGTTCTATAATCCTACGGGTCTACGTAGGCACGCCCGCACACACGCACGCACGCATGCAGGCACGCACGCACGCACGCGCACACATGCACGCGCGCAGGCACGCCCGCCGTGTATTTTTTCCCCTGGCGGGTTGACAACGGACTTGGCGGGTATCTGCCTCACCCCCCTAAAATTTCTCAACGAATCTACACGAATTGGAATACCCATCAAATTAGAATATAAATCGGCGGATTTCCGCCATTTGGCGGGACATTCACACCCCTGATAAGACGTGTGCAAGAATCTGATGTGGGATGATCACAAACAGGTGATCTCACACCACGCGTGACTCTTCACGTCTTCACCAGCAACACATCAACCAATCATATATGTCGCTGATACGACAAACAGTTATAGAACTTTTTACTCTTATATCGCTAATTTCATTTCAATAAGATGAAAGAAATTTAATTAAGATATTAAGGTAGAAGCAAGCATGGCAAAACCATATAAAGGTCTTCACTCCCTGATGGCATTAAGGGTAGGACCTACTTTATGAAGGTTTTAGAATTGATAAAAGAATCACCCAGCAGTGTATAGAAGCCCATGTTGTGGTATGCAGTGTGTTAGCCAGAGACCTGTCTACCCGTCTTTTGGACGGCCTATTCTTGGGTGAAACGGATGAAATTTGATATATTATACACCTTGTATAACTGACAACAGTGCTTATAAGAATATAAAATCATATCGGATTCTTGTCTTTTTGGCATTTCAGACTAAATTTCCTCCATCCTGAGTTTTTTCCTGGCTAACACCCTGGTGGTATTATAGACACAACTTACCCATCTGCATCCAGCAACTGGCTCAACTGGCTGTCCTCGTACATTGGCAGACGAAAACCAAGCTGTGACTCACTCGACGAACTGACTGTCGCCTGCTTTCCAGTCGTGCCTTCGTACAAGTCCTGAGAGTCTTCAACAGGCATTAACATTTTGGTGCTGTTGGAATCCTGCAAAAACGCAGCAATTTGTATTTATATTATTATATTATTAATGTATTTATATAATATTTTTGTATTTATATTAGCAAATTGCAGTGTATTACTGTAGCCACAGTAGGATCATGGAAGTGTATGAATTAATATTGAAAGTTTATACAGAAATCTTAATTATATTAACTTGATATTTATATGACACATTAGGCAATATCCTGAAGTAACATTGATAACATGTGCATGAAGTATTATAGAAGAATTAGTACCGATCTTAATAAAGCAAATGCTTTCTCTCTTGGCATAGGAGTGAGAAATTCCGGCTGTTGGGTTTGTATATTGGTTCCACCTTCTGTCATGCCTACTGCTGGTTGGTTTGGAGGAATTATAGAACCGCCAAACTCGAAACTGCAATGATAATCACTGGTTATCAAATAAGAATGCTCACAAACATTAAACAGATAAAATGCATATACTCTCTATAATACACAACGATATATGTATATACAGCTCCACTCCGCTAATATAGTAATGATAACAGACAGGGGCAATGTTAAAAGCCAAGTTTATATGCAAAATAGAGACTGCCAGGTGGCATGGAAGCTATGCATAAAAAACATTGTCATTAGAAGCTAGACTGGAAAAAATTTACATTTTGAAGCACAAATGGAACACTACCTTGAGTCTGGATCAGATGCAGTCATAAAGCCCATACGAGCAGGGTGGGACTCATGCTCTTCAAATAGGTCCTTTGACTTTTGATGTGACAGGGCTAAAAATGTTTAGACGATACATGTAATGATGTTTAGCAACCATAAAACCGAGAGAAGCTGAACAGGGTAGTATTTCAGCCTTTTTAAAACATTATTTCTTTCAAGAACAATTGCAATTTCAAACGTTCAATTTTGTTATTAGTGATAAACATAAATTTATTCTTAAATTGTATTGCTGGTTGATATTGAACTATAGCATTAGACACTATGCTACACTTGCAACTATTAACCAAGAGCCCAAACCGAATGAGTCTCTAGCCCAATTTGTAAGCTAGGTTCCTTACCTCCATGCATAGTTTCATGGCTGAGCCTCTTTTTAAGATTCGTAAGGGCAGGACTCCTGCTTTTATCACTTGAGCTAGGCCCTGTGCCAAAGAGGTCCTGGATGGTGTTGATGGAGTTACAGACTGGGGATACTTGCTTCCAAGTAAACTTTGATGCGATCGAACGGCTCTCTCCTGTAAATAGAACCGCATTTGTTAGGGAGCCGTTCACAACTATCAGCATTATTTGTAATGTTCCGTAAGGTACATAAGGTAATTAGTAATGTAACCAAGTACATGTTCAGGACACCACTCTCTACCCCCAGAAGTGTGTGTGTATGTGTATATATGTATATATATATATATATGCCGATTTTAATTAGGAGAACCACATTTTTATGTATGAATTGAAATTTATTTGCTTTTAGCAGTTATTCTGACAACCGAAAGTGTACAAGGACTGTTGATTCGCCTGCCAACCCCCAGGATATGGATGTACACTTGAGTTAATCTCAATAAGTGTGAACGGTCTCTTATAACGCGGCCCTTTTCCATGAAGTCAAACCACTTACTTCTCACACTCATTTCATACAGAGTAAGTGCTAATATCCTTGTGGGCTCATGAGCATGACAAATACCACCCAACAAGTACATTGTGTAAATAAACTACGAAATCCAATTAGTTGATGGGAACAAGCTATTACAGGTGCAGTGATGAGAATGGCCCAAGAAAAAAAAACACTGAAAATACTGACCACCAAACGTGAGTGCCAAACGCAATTATAGAAAATGCCTTAAGCATTTTCTGGGAAGGGTATGGGAGGGGGTATCCCCTTCATAGGAAATTTTGTAACATGAATACATTATGGTGCATTCTGGACCTATCTGAGCATCAATTTAGGTTATTTTAAAGGATGAGTTTTAGGATGAGGTCATTTGTACAGTTGCAGACAAGCATCTTTTCGACATCACTATCATCTACATTTATTCTCGTAATGGCGCTCACAGTGCGACATCAATGATCAAAACAAACACCCGAGCAAGAGACCGGACGATAGGCCAAAACATTTCTTACCCCCCTTATCATCTGGTACATCATCACTCTCCGAGTCTGTGTGTAAAGTCAACTCCATCTGCTCTTCCTCTTCTACTCCACCTTTTAACAAACGATAAATGATGCCATTTAATTAATATCTAGCCTTTTACATGCCATAAAAATAAAGCTTTGTGATACATGTAAAATGCACGGCTGTCGCAATACAGATGTAATTACAATCATGGTACTATTCATTCCACTCGATTTGTGATGAGGCGTACATCAGTAAGCTGTACCTTCTTCGACCTGCTGTAAATCTTCATCTTCAGCCTCTGAATCTGCATCTCCTCCTTCATCATCCTCTTCCTCATTATCATCATCGTCGTCACTATCATCACCACCTTCTGCTGCTTCTTCTTCACACTCCTCGGTTACGTAAGTGCATTTGGATTTCTTTCTCTTAACCTTGTTCTCGGAAACCTGTTATATAAAAGATTATTAATAAGAAGAAAACCAACAAATCTAAGTAATCCCGCTATCTATACGAGAATACACACATGTTAACATACCTGTTCATCACTTTCTTCATCTGTTGTGAGCTCCTCTTCTGCTTCTTCCTCCTCTTCCTCAACATCTTCCTCTTCTCCCTCACATTCCTCCTCATTATCAAGCTTGTACAGTTCGGTTCTTCGTTGCAGGCTCTGGTCTCTTCTTTCCTTGATTTTCACTTTTAGGGATTCACGCAGCTTTAGCAGTTTTGCTCCTGGACATATTCGTTTTGATGGGAATGAATCCATTGTAATTTAAAAGCACAATGTGGCTACAAAATCTTATATACGTTCTGCAGATTTCCATATAAACACTAAAATTATCATTCATGTCATTAAGTGCTGCTTTTTCTCAATAATTTAGTCTCGAAATCGCTATTTACAAGCTTATTAGAACCAAAACCTACACCATATATATAACAAATTTTCCTAAAGGGGTCAGCAAAGCAGAAAAATACATATATAACATAAGGCTATATTATTATTAAAGCAATAACGGTTTCATACCAGGTTTATTATGCTGAAGGTTAGTCTCTTCATCTCCTGAGATTGACACGTTGATAGAATCAGTGACCAGTATCTCCTTTCCCTGTGTGTCTGCCTCTTTATGCACAATACTGAAAAAACAATTTAATAATGATACCTATCTGATACTAAAAAACTCCCGACTGATAATAACAAAGAGTCACAGTCACGAGAAATGAAATGGGTGCAACATATTAAGATTCCCGTTCTGTGATATTGATGACGTGAGACTCACTGCAGCTGCACATCGTGTCGTCGACGTGGCGTTTGCTTTGCAGTGTGCTTCATGAACCGCTGCTTCAGGTCAACCATGCCGCGTGGCTGTGGTGGCGCCATCTCTTGCTGGAATACATAAATCACATTGACAATAAACTGAATTTAGTAAAAATATCATCAACTATAAATAAGATATAAGCTGGCTCAATTTCAACAATTCTTTGGCTACCTAGGCTTACCCTAGACTACTATTATACAGTAGAATTTGAACAGAGCTTTCTTCACCAAAGACACTGACCCCGGAGAGTTTAATATAATCTTTCGGCCCGCTGCTTAGACGAGGCGCCACACGCGCATTCCTCAGAGCTTGTAGCTTCAGAGCAGCAAGTTTCGGCGTCACTCCGCTCCTTCTCCTCGGCGACATCAACCCCGACGTCGAGGGTGCACAGTCCTGACTCTCACCGACGCCTGGCCAAGCTGCTTCTGCGTCGTCCAAGTCGTCGTCGAAGCGGAAAGACTTTGCCTTTCTCTCTGGCGACGCGTCGACCACAGCTGTCATTTTCTGGTCGACAGCAGGATTCCCCTTCTCATCTTCCTCCAGGATGAGGTTCAGGGATTCGCTTTCCTGTACGAGGTTCAGGGATTCGCTTTCCTGTACGAGGATCAGGGATTCGCTTTCCTGTACGAGGTTCAGGGATTCGCTTTCCTGTACGAGGTTCAGGGATTCCCTTTCCTGTACGAGGTTCAGGGATTCGCTTTCCTGTACGAGGTCACCAGCTTCACTTTCCCGATTAGTAACTGGTTGCCAGCTATCTCCTTCGATCGCGTTCGTATCTGGGTGGACACTCAGACCTACAGACTCTGCTTTCTCGTCACTTGGAGTTAGAGGAGCAACTGATGATGGCAGATCGATGTCTACGGCGACAAAACTCGCGTCTTGAGCCACATTTCTTCCCACACTATCCTCAGGCATACCTCCCGTCTCCACTCTATCACCGGACGCACTGGGGGTCTCGCCGACCGCAGCACTCTGGCCGATGACAATGCTGAGATCTGGCAGCTCGTCATTGGTTCCGTTGACACAGTCACGCACATCGTCGTTTGAAAAACACGAGGAACTTTCCTTCTGGATAGTAGCATCGTCGTTTGACACACACAAGGAACTTTCCGTCTGGATAGTAGCATCGTCGTTTCCGCCAAGATCGGGCAAAGAACGACGAGGCTCCTTCCGTGATGCTGCCTTCTGCAATTTGGCTTCATGACGTATCTCACTGAAATGTTACAAAATCACACGTTTAACATCCAAAGGTATGCCTGTTGCTCGCAAATCCAACGTATTCCATTGTAAGCCTGATATGCCAAAACTCGATATAATGCAGAATTGCTTATATTATAACATGGTCAAAGGTTTCCAGAACAATGTGGAATTTTAGTTTAAAACAGTATTTTAAAATTCAACGAGTTTTAAGAAGTTATATCAAATCCCAGGACCTGTTTATAACAATAAAATATTCAAAGTCGATATATGACACAGACTCAACTAAATTTGTGGACCTAATCGCCTGCTTTTTTATATCAGCTCTACAATAAAGACATGAAACGAAATTAAGTAAGCAATACCTTGGTGTCAACTTTATTGGGCGCGTTTCTTTCTTTCGGGTGAGAAACTCGGCCAACGTAAGTGGCTTCGGCTTATGATACGGCAGGGACACGCTTGATTCTGAAACATGCAAATGTTTCTATTTCACAGATGCTAGTACAGTCCATTGTAAGTGTGTGTCCGCTGATTATGACTACTGTAATTAGTTATGAGACACGGAAAATTTTACTGTAGCAATGAAAAATTATTTTCAAATTTTACTTGAAAAATTGCTGATTTACTTTCCCAGTGTGTCTGATAATAGCCTTAAATAGCAGTGTGTGCAGGTAGGTAGTTTTTAGCTGTTTACTAGACACTCCTTGCAGTGTTTCCCCTGCATTGTCGCCTCACTCAAATTCTCAGCTGCCACATGGAAATTTGTGCAAAACACCGCCTCGCTGATTCCAATTTTTGCACAAAAAGTGGACGGCGCTCGAAAGTAGGTCGACTGGCGTGCTCCAAAATAGGACGTTCACATCTCTTATATGAGTAACAACTGTATGCAATTTGAAACATGTGGGTCAAAACGGTTCTCGAGTTATGCGTTGACCGTAGGCAGACACTGAAATGCAGAGAGGTAATTGCCGAAATCTTTCTAATTTGCATAATTAAAGAAAATAAATCAAAACCTGTGTGATAGTGTTTGCCGCCGGGCCAGTCCTTATTCATTGACATACCAAAAATGAGCAAAATGCGTTGAACCTAAACCTTGCGAAAAAGTGGACGTGGCTCGAAAGTAGGTCGACTGGCGTGCCTCCAAAATAGGACGTTCAAACCTCTCCATAGGAGTAACAACTATATGCAATTTGAAACATGTGGGTCAAACGCGTTCCTGAGCGCATCGTTGACTAGCCAAATGTTTGACGGACGGACGGACGACGCTACGACACCAGATGGCAATATAGCATCATCTCGACGATGTCAAGGTGACTAAAAAACTGAAACCACAGCCCGGAGGTCTGGGTTAAGGAAGCATTTTCCATGCAATCTAAGGCATTTCCTGGCATCTAGAATTAACTTTGAAATAACAATTTATTAGCTATTATAAAGTATTAAAGCTAATTATAAGCTATTAATTTTAGTCCCACAGTCTAGACTCTAGAGTGAACATTTAATTCTGTAATATTAACTTTAACTTTAATATTAGCTAACCTAAAGAACACTACAACTGTATGATTCTACATTATAGTATGACAGCTTTATCAGAGAACTCTTTTAATCACCACCAAACAATATATTTGTGCTTTAAAATTTATATTACATTATCAAGATATCTTTTTTAAATTTACAATTAAATTTTTTTTACATTTCATTACAAATTTTGACGGTTTCACAAAATCGACCCGGGGCTGTTTTAAAAAGCAGAATCTCGCCCAAAAACGGAAAGATCACAACTCGTGTTTTTAACATCCGTATATCACACGCATTAACGTCAGCCCAGCTGAGAGGGTCTATGTCCCCAGGGTACTGCTGTGAACGTACCCTGGGTACGGTCCGCGTATACCGCGAACGTACGCTGGTACTATCTAATATGCCGGACCGTACCTCGCCTACTCCACTAACGAGTCTAGGGAGTCGCCTACGCCTGCTCCCTAACGCCTAACCGCGCCTAACAGGGCTAACCTAACGCCTAACCATATCAGATAGTTACCAGGGTATGTTCCGGTATACCGGACCGTACCAGGGTATTGTTCTGGTTCATCTTAAAAAATTATATGTTTGCTGTCCTCCGACCTACCCACGAAAATAGCCGCAACCCAAAAGTTTTTTTTTTACAGTTTGGGTTCCATATTTTTTTTTTATTACATTTTTTTATAGTTAGACAAACGTGTTTTTTCGAAACACAAAAGCATGTGTGGCAAACATGAAGACAGTAACTATTATGCCTAAAAAAAAAGACACTACCTACCTACCCACTAAAAAAATCCTGGGTCGGGGGACAGCAAACATTTAAGATTTTTTAAGGATGGCCCAGGGTATGTTCCGGCAGTACCCTGGGGGACATAGACTGACCCTTATGAGCGCCAGACGCACCGCCTGGGTGAAAAGTTCATCGTGATTGGTTTACTTGCTTCCACGCGAATTGAAGCCAAAGAATGTTGATACAACGCCAGGGAATGTTGACACATCGGACCCTTGCAGCGAGAAGCACTCTCATACGGCAACTTGAATTAAATGACAGTTTACGCCTACATATACACTCATTGGCAGAGATAACACATTATATATCGCCTCAATCCTAGCTCGTTAGGTGCTCTCACATTGGCAACATGCCAAATCCATTATCCTTCCTGACATAATTGCCTAGCTGGGCAGATACATACGACAAAACGACCCCGTCCTTGTGCCATAATGTTGTTAATTTTCTAGTAATAAAAACAGTTTGCAGCGGCAATAATAGGATCTTTTAAGTTAGACACTTACACGTGGACTTAAGTCGGCTACTCTCAGGCACATTTGGCGCTTGTTTGTCGGCTGCTAACTAGACGTTCTAAAGCCGAACGCGCGCTGGCGATTTCCAATCACGTGACTGCCGCGCAAATGCCACACGATCACACACCAACGGCACGAGACGTATATAGACGTGCATATGATATATTGTACACTAGCAAAGATACCTGGCGTTTCCCGGGAATAAAAGCACTCAGTTTGGTGACCACTTGGTTGAAAGGAAAAAATAAGAAAAAATCTATCTATCTATTGATTCGATCGATCGATCAATCTATCTATCTATCTACTACTGTACGGTGTACCTTTAGTAACAGTAAAGCAAGTCTGCCATCATTATAGATATAAACCACGTCTCATACTCGCTACGCTCGGTGAGATATCCCATCTCAAGCTCATACTGTGATAGAACCTATTTAAGTCTCACGAAGCATATACACATGTCTCACGAAGCAGATACATATGTCTCCCAAAGCAGATACGGATGCCTCACGAAGCAGACATATACATATGTCTCACAAAGCAGACACATATGTCTCACGCAAGCAGATACATATGTCTCACGAAGCAGATACACATGTCTCACGAAGCAGATACATATGTCTCACGAAGCAGATACGGATGTCTCACGAAGCAGACATATATATCTCACGAAGCAGTACTACTTATGACCTGATCTCTCAAAGCAGATACATATGTCTCACGAAGCAGATACACATGTCTCACGAAGCATATACACATTTCTCACGAAGCAGATATACATATGTCTCACAAAGCAGACACATATGTCTCACGAAGCAGATACATATGTCTCACGAAGCAGATACACATGTCTCACGAAGCAGATACATATGTCTCACGAAGCAGATACGGATGTCTCACGAAGCAGACATATATATATCTCACGAAGCAGATACTTATGTCTCTCAAAGCAGATACATATGTCTCACGAAGCAGATACGCATGTCTCACGAAGCAGATACACATGTCTCACGAAGCAGATACATATGTCTCACGAAGCAGATACGGATGTCTCACGAAGCAGACATACATATGTATCACGAAGCAGATACTTATGTCTCTCAAAGCCGATACATATGTCTCACGAAGCAGATACACATTTCTCGCGAAGCAGATACATATGTCTCACGAAGCAGATACATATGTCTCACGAAGCAGATACATATGTCTCACGAAGCAGATACATATGTCTCACGAAGCAGATACATATGTCTCACGAAGCAGATACACATGTCTCACGGAAGCAGAATTATACATATGTCTCACGAAGCAGATACTTATGTCTCTCAAAGCAGATAAATATGTCTTACAAAGCAGATACACGTCTTACGAATCAGTAATTATTTTTTAAAAAGCTCAGTGCAAGACAGCGGAACTACATCGACGCACAGACGCGCATAAGGGTCCAACACTACGCGCCATCGTAATAAACTCACCTGCTCCTTGCACATCTTTTGTGCTTTTTCAAAAATTCGAAAGATTAGCCAATCGTAATTCTTCATAAAAAGGTTCAGCCGTAAACGGCGAGTTGGTCATATATACAGTCTCTTCAAATCAACCGCTCCGTGCTAGTGATCTAGTTAGATGTTGATGCATTACCTAAGATCACCTCCACAAAAAGGAGCTATGTCAGCTAAATGTACGGCCCTCTAATGACCGCCTTCACAATATAAATCGTTGTTTAATGCAAGCACTGAGAAAACGAACTTCAGACACATTAGCCCTGTATTTGCTTCTGTATTATATAGGACCTGAGATGGATCTAGGTATATATCGTATATATATATATATATATATATATAATATATATATATATATATATATAATGCGCGAACGCCGACGCAACCTGTGTTTAGGCGCTCATGAACCAAATATGTCTGCATTCGCTTTGCGTTTGTAAACTTGCAATCTGAAAACACAATTCAAAACTTCGTCCTCACAATTAAAATGTACTAGATATGTGTATATCTCTTTACCGCGAAAGGTTGTGCACCTTCAATGAAAGTAAAGTTTTAACGAAATTTGAAAGCAACAATACTGGGACATGTGAGACGAGTTTAAATCATTTTCCCACCAAGCTCACATGTTAAAAGTGTAAATGAATTTGTTTCTGTGCAAAATCGCACGTTATTCCGCGCTAGAATATGCAGTAATAAACCCGTGTACGAAAAATAAATCGTTCCTGAAAAACTGTTCGTAAAGCGAAAATGTCGGTAACATTTTCTTTATTGACTTACATAATAGTATTAGAGCGGCATTCTGGCGAAAACAAGTAGGTAATTCCCCCATCTTCCCTAATAGAAGCACAATTGTGAATGCAAATAAAACACGCACGCACGCGCACACACACCACGCACGCACGCACGCACACACACACGCACGCCCGCAGCCAACGCACACACACACACACGCGCACGCACGCACGCGCGCACGGCACGCACGCACGCACACAACACACACACACATGTAATATTATATACATAAAGCTATACATATAATATGTATAGCTTTATATATATATATATATATATATATATATATATATATTATATATATCATCCATATATAGCTCGTGATATAATGCACAGCACACGGCACGCACTTTACATGCA